GGAAAGAAAAGAAAAACTTGAATAACTCTAGAAGGAAGCAAATTGCGCCGATATCCTTTGAGGCTTTTTCATATCTCTATGTGACCTATCGATTGGCATATGAATGAAAAAAATCTGAGATGGACACCTCGGGAGGTTCCCTCGTGAGATTTTCAAATTTATTGATCAGAATATTTATGATTGGAGCGACCGAGATTATTTTTAATAAGCATTCTTTTTTTAAGATTAAGATACTTACCACCATGTCAAAACGACAACTGAGTGACTCGCGAATCGGGCTGCAGAGTTGTTACATTCGTTATTACTAATGATAAACTTTTGTACACGCTGATTGTGACTATCGGCAAAATATAAATTACCTTTTGTGTCGAATTGCAATCCTTCTGGTCGATCTAACTGATTTACTCCATTGCCCTTGCTACCGCCTGCAATAAGTCTACCAGTTTTTGCGCCTACAAGCCATTGTACCACACGATCGTTGCCGTAATCGGTGACAAAAACATTTCCAGTCACATCAAGTACAACCGACGTTGGATCATTAAGCTGATTTAAGTTAGATCCTTGACCATTCCCTCCAGCTACTGTCACACCTTCCTCTGAATCTTTCGCCCATTTCTGAATACGATGATTACCCAAACCTGCGACGTACAAATCACCAGCAGCATCGACAAAAAGCTCTTCCGGATAATGTAATTACCATGAGTGACTACCTGGACCATGTCCTCCTGCTACAGCAGTACCCCTCGTACACCGTCGTCGCATCAACAATCCATTTCATGACCCGATGATTCCAAAGATCGGATATATATATACCTCTACTAAAATCAACAAAAAGTTCCCAGGATTCGTTAAACTGGTTTGCGTCTCCACCAGGCCCAAATTGACCAATAATCCTTTCATCACTACTAGCACCATTGTTCCACTTTTGTATACGGTTGTTACTATTGAGTGAAATATAAAGCTTTCCCTCCTTATGTAGAAACACAGTGGATGGTCCTGACCACTGGTTTAAATTATTTCCTCTCCCGTTTCCGCCAGCCACAAGTTCACCACTTATAGCGTTCGGTGCCCATTTTACAATACGATCATTGTGATTATCTGCTATATAAACACTGTCGTTATCATCCACAAATATATGATTCGGATAACTGAGCTGATTTAATGCTGCACCATTATCATTTCCACCCGCAACTGTTATTGCATTTTCAGACCATGTTACTGCTGAGCAGATTGTTGGTGGAGCTGTGGATGTTTCAACTAGAAAAGGAGAAATGTGTTGATGTGAAAGGATTCTGAAACGATTAAACATATGATGAACTTGAAACAATGTCATTGTGTTAAATAACACATTTTCAAATACTATATACAAAAGACGATTAGATTTTGAACGCCGAATCTGACAGATAGCCTCCAGTTTTACCCCAAATCTTCCAGTCAAACATGGCGAATGATATATGAATGATTAGAGATCATCTTTGGTGTCACTGCATCTCTCAATGACTATTAAAACGCTCACCGGCTCTAAAGTTGATTTTTCTGAACCCTCCGCGACTTTTAAAATTCATGCTCAGTTGTCTCACTCTTTCAACGGTGTTTATCTTCGGTACAAGTGTCGAGTGGTACCTGCCATCCAGTCGAAATGCAACGATTCGACTATACCACAACTTAAAAAATTCTTATGGATGCAATTCGATTTCTAAATTTCAACTTGACACGACAGTTTGCAGAAAAAACTGAGAAACAAAAATGCATTCATTCGACTACATGTTTCAGTCTTCTGCTTTAACGTCGTTTCAATTTAATCTCTTTTATTCTTATGTAAAAGCAGTTTAATACACGTACTTAACGAACATACGAGAAGATTCTTTATATTTATAATAGATTTCTACTTATTATAAGCTCATCTATATATCTACAACATCCTTCTGCAACAATAAATTAAATTACATCTGTTTTTGGAAATGACGTGACTTCAACACTCCTCACTTTTTTAATTAGATATTATTTTATTCTTTTTTATTTGCGATGATTAAACGAGAAGAGAATAAATAGCGACACACGACAGAGCAGGTGAGAGTACATGATGAATATTAAAAAGATTTAAAATAGTCGCTGCATTTATCTGAGCCAAAAATAAAGATGAAAAATATAACAATTATACACGATTGGAATACTTTGTTATTTAAGATATGGATTTTAATTAATATATCAATCAGCATACTAGTATTCATATTTATACTTGTACTAATTCTCGTTAAACGAGCATAAAAAGATATTTCAATACTTCTATCCATGAATACATGTTTAACACTAATTCTATCCTCATTTATACTTGGTAATATGAGTTTCTCTAGCCTCATACACACTGAATAAATACAAGTGTGGTGTCATATATGTGTTTATCTTGTATATGGTTTTATTTGTTGTATTTATTATTCATACTGTTCACAGACATTCTATCGCCTCTGTCGAATTGTATTTCTAAATAAATTTGAATAATACTACTTCTATGTTATCCTTATTATTGTACAATGGTTCCTATCTCTAGAAGTCGTCTCTGAAGGACATGTAATCGAAAAGACGTGGACTCTTCAAGTAATAAAAAAAACGAACTAAATGAGTGAAAAGTCACCGAACGGATAAGGCGGCGGAAATTCGAGCAAAATGTATTGTTGTTTTTTTGAAGTGATTGGATAGAGTTCATCAAACTGTATAGAAAAACGTCAATTTAAGGTTTTTAAAAATTATTTTTCTGTGAAAAGAAATCAAAATATCGATTGAGGGTCAACCATAGTTGAGTGAATCAGTGCAGCTTTTAAAACTTAGCCATTTTCTCAGCTGGATTATATTCTTTTTAATTTTCAAAGTATTTGTTGCTGATTCTCGATGAAAATCTGAATCTGAAACAGTAAACTGAAAGCTTGGAAACCAAAACTGGCCTTGGGACACGTGGTATTTGAGAAGAATGATGTCAAATTTCGCCAACTACCTTCCAAACTCTATCTCCTCCCAGGGGTCGAAGATAAAACTTTTTTCATTTCATTTAATCACTAAACCACGGGGACAAAAGTAGTTTGAGACTTTGTTTTTAATCCTTCATTGGTAAGAAAATAAATTTTTTTAAAATGAACGAATTCTTAGGATTTAAATGCTTTTTTCCTAAAAAACTCAACAAGATTAAGTGAAATTTACTTAACTCTTTGGTTACGGGGCACGTCTATATACATTTTGAGCTTTTGCTCACATTACGGCTGTTATGATCTTCCCTCTTGGTCAGGCCAAAAGAATGCTCTCTCTTTCTCTTATGTTGCCATTATCACAGAGTCATCGCGTAGCACTACCATGTATGTATGTATCTTCCTTCTCTTGCGTTCTGCAAACACGCATTGACGACACGCACGCCTTTCTTTTGATGATTTTTCGAAGTCAGTTGATTCGGCAACTGGATGAAAAGTACGCTCAACCTAAAGGATTGTAGTCATACTATCAAACAAAAAAAAAGTTGAAAGGTGGAAACGAAGGCAGTGAATTATCTGAACGTCAAAAAAAATCTGAAACAGAAATGGAAAAATGGTTGAATTTCGATTTTGCATTTCGAAACATTTTGATTTGATTGTCAACGTTTTGACAAAAATACATGCCGTATTCGGTCTACAATCGTTTTTTGATCGATGTTTGAGTGATGCCATGTTTTTGTACGTGAATAAAATGTGATAGTTGTTTCAATCACATTTTATTCACGTACGGAAAACGTTTAGCATAATCAGTTTGCTCTTTTTACAAACAAGACTGGAACTTCCTTCATCAATGAGCAAACATTTCTGATTAAAAATGAAAATTATTTAACATTTAACATCCTTTAATATAAAACATTCAGCCAGTTCTTATTTCACGTCAGCCAGACATTTAACATCCTTTAATATAAAACATTCAGCCAGTTCTTATTTCACGTTTTCCAGAAAAATCTGAAATGTTTGCAACGCTGGACTTCAAATCAATCTTTCGACTTTCTTGCGCTCTTTAAGTCTCTTTGTTATTCATATGATGCCGGAAAAAAATCTTGAATATGGGAAGCATTTTAATCTGAAAAGTAGCGTAGCGCTTTTGAAATAAGAACTGGCTGAATGTGTTATATTAAAGGATGTTAAATGTTAAATAATTTTCATTTTTAATCAGAAATGTTTGCTCATTGATGA